ATGTATGATAGAAAAATAAATAAAATCTTTCTTTAAATTTAACACAGACTTACAAAATCTAAATATCAGAAGTCCGTAGATTTATCGTAAAAAATCAGTAGTTTATCAAAAGGAAAATTAGGAAACTTTATTTGGAGTTAGAGAAGCATGTAGCGATTTTTTCTCGAAAAACAATAATAAATCCATTCCATTAAGCGTTTTTTCCGTGTCATATTAGCTTGATAGTGGAAATATTTTCTTCAAATTCATGTCAAATGAAAAAGAAAGATAATCATTAAAACTTCTATCATCGATCATTCCAGGATCATTTATTGAAATATACAAAAACAAAAAAACAATAGAACAGAGGAGGAAACAGCATACTTCGAAAGACTTCGTAGGATTTCAGAAGACTTTATGAGACTTCAAGACTGAAGTCTTGGCTGTTCTTCTTCGTGTAGAACATGACTGTATTGTGCTGAAAGAATTCTGTTTAAAGAGAAGTGACTTATTTAGGAAATAATTACAAAGCTGTGTATAATTAGTAATCAATATTCATTCTTCTTTTAAATTCTGCTCTAACGAACGAGAGAATCCCTCCATATGTCAAATCGCTTTTCGACCAAGACCATGTTTATCTGATGAGTAATAGAAAAGTCTATAAACAGTTTGATTTTTTGAATTTTGGTTCTTAAGATATCGAAATTTCACTAGATTTTTCAACAAAAAACTGCGATTTCCCTTAGATGACTTGATAGCATCGACTTCAGATGTCACACGAACAAAGCTGTTGATAAGATTAGTTCATTGAGCAAGTTGTAACTCTTCTAATATCTTTTATCCTGATGTATTCAACATTTGGAATTCTGTCATGTGTGAAAGCAAATTTTGTTAATATATTTATATCAAAGAAAGGAAATACTAGAGCAATCAACTAATCTCATTATTCATGCAAATTTTGAAGTTGAAACTCTTACATGATCTGCGGGAATCACAGTTTATTGTTGAAAAATTCGGTAACATTTCGATCACTAGAGAACAACGGCTCAGAAAACCAAACCATTCTATACTTTTCTATTACTCAATAGCAATCATCAAATGGACATCTTCTCGATCGAAAAACTGGAGATATTCCCTTGTAAATCGTGTAGCATTCTGTTTTAGTTTTTATCAAAAAAAGAACCTCTGTGGGACTGAAAATACTTCGAAAAACATAATGTTCATTAAACATTATGATAAATCAATTTTCTTTTCCTTTTTGTTTTTCACTTACAGTGTTTCTTAAAGTTAAAGTAAAAACTTAAAAATCAGAAGATTTGATAAGTCTGATTTTACATGAATCAAACTATTGAAGATCCTTGATTGAATCATTTTCTTGATTCAGATGTAATTAACATTAATCATTTATAACTTACTAATATGATACTTCTTTTGATTATTGTGTAAGAAAAGAAACAAATAAATATTTTACCTAATTTCATCACATTTTCTATAAACAATTGTTCAGCTTGTACATCATTTAATTCAGCATAAAAATATCGTCTTTTGATAATTTCTTGTCGTAAATTTGGAATACCATACTGAAATTACGAAAAAAAAAAACATATAAATAAGATACTTTTATTTAAATAATATTCAAACCTGATTAATTAAATCATTTGATGCATAATGTTCAACAACAAAATCAGTTGATAATTTTTCTTTATCAATTGAATCACCATACTCAGCTTGATAAGCTAATGCTGAAAATGATAATTTTTGTTCAATTGATGTTTGAAATGAATCAGCAAGAATCATTTGTCGAAATTGTAAATAAAAAAAATGTTGTGTAAGAAAATGTCTAAGACAAAAACATAACAAAAAGAAAACAAATAAATTCAAATTTTATTTTATACTATTAAAATAAAGAAGAGAAAAAAAAACCTGAGTAAAGTAATATCATTAACAAAATATTTTATTTTTAATTGCATAACAAATGTTGTGTGACCAGTTTTCCATTTCGAATCATTTATTAATTTCGATATTTTAAGATCCATTGAAGGAAAAGAATATTCACCATCTAAACAAGAAAATTTCATATTAATAAATTTATTAAAACAAAAAATAAAATAATTTAACCAATCAGAATTGTAAGACCAAAAAGATCATGATCAATTAAATCAACATAAGTTACAATAGTTTCATAGATAATTCGTACAGTAGCATTTGGTTTACAACAAACTTGTACTCGATTATTATTAGGAAGAAGAACAACAACTTGACAAATACATTCCAATGGATTCTTTCATAAAAATAGTAAAAGAATAATGTTCATTATTAAATAAATATCTAACTTACTCGACTAGGGACTATGATTTTTTCAGCTTTACTATCAGATCGTATAGCAAATTCAGGTCCGACTTGTTTCTATTGAAAATAAAAAAAAAAGATTAATTAATTAATATATTATTAAAATATCTTTATAAATTTCAATCACACATGAAATAACATAACTATCGAAAAAACAAAATTTTCTTCGAATACTTTATACTGATTGATATTAGATTATAGCTAAACTTGTGTGAAACGATTGGAAGAAAAATGCATATAAATATGTTTATAATATGCGAAACTAATTACATATTATTCATAGGAAGAAATTAGAGAGAAATTAACTGCAGTCTTACATATAATAGAAGAAGAAAGTGACTTTCTCTAAATCGTGAGATATATTCAAAAAAGAATTGTACTTTAATTTGTTCAGCACAACAAATTTAAATATGTCCTATGATTGGATTCATTTTATAAAACAACTAATGATATCAATGATGAATATTGCACTGAATAATAAATTATATGAGGTTCAAATGCTCAATAAAAACTTCTAATAATTTTAATAAGAAAATAAAAGATCCTTGATTACAATCGATCCTTGGACATTGATAAGGGTCTGATCTACATATTTTTTAATTGAAAATATTTCTTGTCTTTACTTTTCCCTAACTAAATATAAAAGAATAAGATTACAATTGAATCTATCCATTTTTGGAAACACCTATTCCTACATTCTTTTGAATTAAGTCAATCGATTAACTTTATATTATTACTAAAAAAACTAGAATAAAATTTTATCAAATAAATGACTATCTTTCATAAATGATACCTTTTAAATAATAATAATAAAATAAAAGTAAATTAAAATTATCAACTTTCAGAAAAAAAGCATCCTTCACTTCTACATATCATTCTCTTCTATTTTACTATCAAACTTAAAATGAACTGTAAAATAATATGATGAATATTAAATTTCCACCAAGATAAATAGTTATTATTTACTCGAAAAAGTGATTTTCGTCGTCGTTTTCGATAGACAGAACTACTTAATGAAGCATTTGGATCAAATAATGATGATTGATTCGTTGTATCAACTCTGTAAACCCAAATACAAAAAAATATTATCTTCTGTTATTTTCTTTGATTAATAACTTACAATGCTGTTGGAGTAAGATCAGGCATACTAGCTGATGATTTTCGATTAATTCTTGTTAGCTCTCTATTCATTGATGATTTTTCTAGTTCAGGAAAAACATTAGCTAGAAATACAAAGAAATTTTCATTGTTTTTCTTTTTAACAATAAAAAAAAATAGAATATATTCACTTACGAAGTCTTCGTTTTGCTTTCAAACGTTCTCTTAATTGTAATAATTTAACTGTATCTTCATTAGTTAAATCTTCTGGTAAGCTAAGTTGTGCTCGTAATTGTTCTAATTTTCGTTTTTTATTTAATAAACGTTTTCCTCTTGTAATAAAATCAGCATTATTTTCAAATATTTCAAATAAATCTTCAATAACTGAACGAGATGATAATTGAGAATGATCATTTGTTGGCATTGCTGTTGATTGAAAAGGAATTTGTGGTAGATGACGTCTTGTAGTCATTGAAGTATGATTACTGTGATGATCAATTGCTTGATCAAGCAAACATAAAACGTGCTCGTCGGTAAGTTCCTAATTGAAAGAAAGGAAAATATCATCAATCTAACTTTGTGTGACAGATGTATAATCGAAGGTCATCTGTTGACAATTCAAGAAAAGAATGAAAACATAGACGATATATGCATAAGATTAGGTAAACAAGTCTGTTTTTCTTTTTGCTATTAAATGATGTACTTCATTTGGGGGTGTACATAACAATTCGAAAAGGCAGACAAAAAAGAAATTTAAAGTAGCAATGATGTTGACTACAATAAGATGCAACAGCTGGCAATAGCAAGAATAATTTTTAGAGATGGCAATAAGCAAGTCAAAAGATGAGAAAGAGGACGTGAGAGAGAGGGAGAAAGAGAGAGAGAATGAGAGAAATAAATATGTGCATGCGCATGTGTATGTTTGTGTGTGAGTAACTTCGATTCACATTTCACAAATGAGAAAAGAGAAAGAATATTGGATGGTTTTCTTTTGAATTTCAACGAAACATATATGTATATATGTAGGTATATATGTGAAAGCCTTGATTTACGTTCAACAAAGGATTTGTTTATGATGTCATTCGATGAGATATACTTGGTAACATATATATAATTTTGAAAGGATTCATATTAATTAATATAAGCAAAAGTAGAGAAAGAAAAATAACAATTCTTTAATTTATTTTTTATGTAAATATACTATATTTTTCTTTATTTCAAAATTAATTAACATTTATTCATACCATTAACGAATTATTATCACCACTACCACGGCTTGAATTTATACTTCTACAATTACTGTTGAAACTTCCATTACGAGACCATTTTCGACTATCATCATCATACATTTTACTAATGATAGACATTTTATTTCAAATATAATTCTGAAATGATGATGATGTTTTTAGACAATATAAAACAAAGAAACTATGGAATTTTAAGGCGTAATAACAATTGTTGTTTGTTTTAATGTTATAAATTGAATCTTTTTTTGCAAGGTATCTGTCAATGATTGAATATTAATATAAAACAATCATTCATTGGGATTGGTTAAAGACACCATAATACTGAACGTTGCTATGTGATGAACTCTGATATAATAATAAATAATTTATAACTATAAAAATTCAGAACAAAAAAAGCGAAGATACAAAATAAACTAATATTTTCAGCATTTGGAAAAGAAAATAATATAGAACTTTTATTATTCACATGCGCCACCTCTCGACATTGCTAATAAATTTAACAATTTTTATATTATTTTTTCAATATTAAATTCGGTACTAATTTGTTTTTAATCGAACTTTAAACTAAAATATGAAATAGATAGTCAACATTTTCAGATATAACTAGTTAATGAGTATACTATAAATGAAATAAAAATAAGTGTTTTTGTAAACAATTGTGTTCTTTTATAATGCCATAATTGTTATTTACCATTTGTTTCTATTGAAAAACATTCAAGGATCTTTTATAAAGTATTTTTACTTAAACTACATATTTTGACAATAATTACAATTCGTCGTCAACTCTTTTTTTCTCCTTTAAAACAATTATTAATTCTATATGCATTCGTTTTGATTCGGTGACATGCTGTATCTTATATATTCTGAAAGAAAAATGAAACATTGTTAAAAACTATATTCGGAAATTTATGTAAGATTTTCTATTCATTTCTGTTTTGTACTTAGAAAAAAATTCAGTCAACTCTTTGTGAATATGATGAATTCAAAATAGTTGTTTAGACTTATTTTGATGTAGAGTGAGAATAATAGAAGTACGACGATCACATATAACCACAATTAAGAGAGTATTGTTCTTTTTCGAAAGTTTGTTGCGTTCATACAAAAATAAACAAATGATTTCTGTTTTAATAGGACACCATTCATAGCAGTTTGCAGAGGTCTGAAATTGTTTTTTCGTTCTTTCCAAAGTTGAATATGAAACTCAATATGAATGTAGTTTCACTTTTTTTTTTATCAAGATACTACAAATGCGAAAACAAAATTTTCTTTTTTTTCTCCAATAGAATACAACAAGACACCTACTAATTTATGCTTTTAGATTTGCTTATTTGCGTAGGTTTTCTTATTTCAATGGACCAAGCAAAAGGAAAAAGAATATTGAATAACGCCTACGTATGTTCTTTTTTGTAAAGGAATAATTTGCAAAGAAAAAAAACAACATAAAAACATGCGAAAAAGGAAGAAAAGTAAAAGTGATAGTCAGTCTCTTAATCGACAACTAATGCATGCAATTCATTTTTTTTACATGAGCAAAGTAATAAAAAAATATTAACGTTCTTGTTTTTGCCTTCCTCCTTGATCATTTATTTAGGCATTGGGTAAAGGCAAAATGAAAAAGAAAATGCATATAAGAAAAATCTAGATGGCTCGCGTCTTTGCTTTCTTTCTGCGCCCCATAAATAGGAATGATTCATTGACAAGAAAAATACCCACTCGCAAGAGATACCCTTATATATGGCTTCATCTCTGTAGAAAGGTGAACTGGGTTTTTTCTATAGCATGCAATGGCAATATTTTTCTTCTTCCAACTTGTGTAAAAGCGTGTCATCAAGATAATTCATTGTTGACATAATCTGGCCCACGTTGTTTTTCTTCTTTATCCTATTGGTTCTTGTTATTATCTCAGAAATAGTAAGAATTTTCCCCAGTTTGCGAATATTATATAAATATGAATATCTATCATAATTTTGCTTCCAGTTATATCGATCGATAGTTAAATAAAGTGTCGTTTCACCGTAAAAATGATGATAATATTATTTCTAATTCAATCTTGGCATGGATTGGAGGACAATCATCACCGTAATACAAAGTCGTAGATTTCATGCAAGCTAATGAAACAATATGTAAGTACATTCTAGTATGATGAATATTTCATTCAAAAGATATTTCTATGACGTATGCACTGACATCATCCACCTAGAGTATTTTTCTAAGTAATACAAAGTGCATGAGTGTGAGAGCAGCGCACCTTCTGTATAGCTACCTCACAGAGTAAACTTACATCACTATGATTCAGTCATATTTAATTGCGTCATATTTCAACATTGATGAAAATTTTATTAATAATGTTGATAAATTATGTTTGATGACAGAACATTGTCATAAGTTAGTTTCAAATTATGAGGAAAAGTAGGTTATTTAATAGTAGTTTCATTAATCATGATAGAATTTTAAACTTATATTTTAATACATGAAAAACAAAAGTCATAGCAACGTGTTAGAAAAAAAATATGTTGTTGATAGATACTTTTTCTGTAACCGCACACGAGCTCATTGCTTAGCTATTAATTCGTAATGCGACTGCTCTTTTTAGTTTAAACCAACGTTTCGAATAGGACTCCACACATCTTTTGAAACAACCAGTTTTTCACAAATAGAAATCTTTCGATGAAGAAAAATACACGCTTTTTGCTATAGATGAATCCTATAATACGGACTAATTCTACAGTACTTATTCAGTATTGTATACAGTGATGTCGGAAGTAATGAACATCGTCGTCAGTATTACAATATTGGCAAGTAATTATTTTTTTAAAGAATATTAAAAGAAAATAGTATAGACTTTATCTGATTTTACACTAGAAACCTAGCTACTCCGTTATGTCAAATATATTTGACGAAACGACAGCATAAATAATAGACTCCACACGATGAGCATCGTCGCATTTATTGAGAAAACTCATAATTGTGTTTCTTTAAAACTATGTTAGAAGTTATTCTTGAACTGTTTTTAATAAGAAATTAATCTAGTATAGGATCCATCGTCATTCACAGTTTTTTAGTATCAATGCTAATAAATAGAAATATTCCCAGTAATGACGAAAACTGCGTCAAAATTGCAACACTACACAATTCATTCATGAGCTAAAGAAGCCCGTAAAGAAACTTGCTTCAATTCTGTACATGATGGATTTTTTCCCACTTTTAATGGTTTGTATTTATAGAGAGCATTGTAGGTATTTTTTTATTATGAAAGTAAAGATAAGAGTCGTAAACTTGAATCTGATTAAATTTATGTCATACAAGATGAAAAAAGTAACATTTGATTGCATTTGACGAAGGTTAAGTATCATAGAATGGAACGCAGAGTCATCCATAATTATTCAGTTTCATACGACAGATCGAGATATCTTTTTCCACGGAAAGATTTTTTTGTGTACTAGCTCATCTTACGTAGAGCTCTATCTTTAAATGATATATAAACATTATTAATGAACGATTTATTCTTTTGTTTTAGTCTAATTGATTATAACGCCATTCAAATAATAATAATAACTAATTTCACAACTCTACGATTCGCATAAAATCAATGTATGTAATTGATGTTCAATCTCTGATGAATTCAATAATGAAGACCATGGAAATATAATGTGTAGGCTTTTCCAAATTGGTTATAAGAAGTTAATTTACTTTTAACTAAAAATCGTTGGTTGTGCCAATAATTAATCAAAACTACTAGTGAAAAGTAGAAAACGGTAATTTTTGAACACTGATCGGTTGAATCGAACATACTTTCTCTCTCTCTATTTTTTTTTTGTTTAATTTAATATTATCTTATTAGAAATTCTTTTGCAAACACAAAATCTTGTAGCTATTGAAGGTGTAACTATGGAGCAAAAAAGACCGAAAGTTTTGTTAAATTATTCATTGAATGTACTAGGATGATTAATCGACTCAAGACGAGTATTCTACGTGCTTGTTTGATGCACTTTAGCCGGTTCTAGATGAGGATAGGACATGTGATCAAAGCAGATGTTTTACATCTTTATGAATCAAAATTGAGGAAAATCTTATAGAAGTCATCGACAAATATAACGATTATTTCAGGTTTATATTAAATGAGCTTTATGATGAACCTTGAAATATGACTATTAGTCGGTGTTTTTGTATAGGTTAGACTCAGTTTTTGGTTTACGCTGATATCACTGATTCTATTGTCATCATAAGAACTGTGTATTAGACATTGTGGTAGATGTTTGTCTTGAGCATGAAACATTACTAATGGTATTTGCTCGATAGTGAAAGTCAGAAGCACTGCTCCTTGTTCATAGAAAACATAAGGGACCAAAATTAGAACCATTCGAATGCACTTTAACTTCACTAACAACAATGGTGATCTGATTGGCAGACGCGAAAAACAATAGAACAAGAGAGAGAGAAGAACAAAGCGTGAAGAAGAAACAAATAAAAACTTAGCAGGTGATAGCATACAGGTAATGGCACACAATGCCGTTAGACCCGGGCGATCCCTCAACAGGCGTTTATCTTTAACTGAGTTATAGCTCGTGTGATCAAGGTTTCCGTTGCTGAAGGGCCTCATCCGCTACGAGTTCGGATGAGGGCCTTTCCCTAGCGGGTGAGGCCCTTCTCAATTTTTATGCAACTATAAGTGTAACAATCTTATGTCGAGCAGCGATGCTCCAATATACATTCTAATTTTTAATGATGTGCTTTTCGTCTTAGAATAGGGAATATATGTAAATATGTCACAGGCAATCATTTGAGTTATGAGGTTAGTTCTATAATTGAGATAATTCCGTGCTATATTAGAATGTTTAGTTAGGTATTCATTTTTTGTTTTGTTATGATAATAGTTTAATGTTTTTTTTTGTATATATTTTTTTAATATTTATTATTTTGATTTGAATAAAAATATCTGTTGATAAAATCATTATGTTATTATTATTGAAGTGATGGTAAAAGAATATTCAGTTCATTTAATATTAAATGCAATGAAACTTTGCATTTATTTCATTGGTTTGTTTATCAATTGTCGAACTTTTGCATTTGAAATATTGAAGCAGTATTTTATCAAGTGTGAA